CACCATTTCACGTCAACCGTGAATATTTCTTTGTTATTTATTTAGTGCTATCAGTAAATATAACTACCAAGGGCAGATTGCAATATCCATTCACCACCTCGAAATTTCCAATAACATCCCACCTAATTCCCTTCCTAGTTTTGATTAGTTTGAAATTAGTTACTGTGGGTAGAACAATTATACGATTTCCTACTGGGAAATATGTCAACGTAAATTTTTTTTTTCAAGGTTAAGGAGGGGTTTTAGCTCTTTGTTCCCGACAATTGCCAACCCCCATCGCTTTTTATGAGGCCGTTCCAAGCGCAAAACACGTAATTCTAACTCGGCCCTTAGATACCTTCGCACGAGAGAAATATGCCGGCGAAAGAGGCGGCCAGAAAATTAAATCCCGGACCTTTACTCATCTTTATGGCTCTCGAGGTGCTCGCCAACTTTTAGTGGGCCCTTGCGCATCAGACTCTGCACTTTGGATTCCGCACTACTCTTTGTATTTACATTGTATGGCAGCTGAGGGATATTAAATAATTCGCTATTCACCACCAAGTTGAACATTTTATGTAAACAAGATGGATAAATATTAAACATTCATTATTTTTTAATTATCAAAAAAGAATTTCTTTTTATATTTTGTGAATTTAAACGTTGTTTTAATCTAATTAAGGAGAATCCCTTATTTGTCTTCTGTTCTTGTAAAATTTCATAATAAAGAAACCAAATACCTTAAAATACCTTCGAACACATCATTGACTCTAAGAGACCTCAAAATGTACCTTTTTTTTCGAGCATACGTTTTAGCGCCTCCTTTTTCCACGCCATTAGTTTTTTTGCGTTCCGGATGTCCAGTAATTGTTATTTCCACCCATCGACGGCAGGAAAAACGTGATGGATGGTTCACTTTCGTGTGGACCTTTTCTCGGACGCTTAGTTTTTTTTACTTAATCAATACTTGGCTTTACGCTGCGTTAGTTCGTATGATTAAAGTTTCGGAGATGTACCAGATATGGATTTAAATTCGTAATCCCTCTTGCAGTACGGCTCTGTTTGGTGGTAATATGGAAGCATTATCGCCGAACTGTACACCAGACAGATCTACTTTCGCATAATAGAAACGCTGACTACAAGGAGGGCTCCTCATAATCGCGGCTGCTATCGATTTAGTTCTGCCGGTCCTGAAAGCGTGTTACATCCGAACAGGAAATCAAATTTGGCACAGATGCTATAGTTTACTACGTACCTCGCAACTCTAATATCTCAAGTTAGGAACAATAAGAAGTTTAATTAAAATAAGTAAATTTAGTGTTAATAAAGTAAATGAAAAAGAAAATTACCGCGAAAGGGAATCTAACCAAACCACTTGATTTATCGCTTTATTACTGGTGGCCGAACAGAACCATAAATTTACCTCTTAAAATAACGCAGCGTAAAATAATTTTTGACGTCCGGACAGATATATCCCGACCAGAATTGACGCTAATTCACGTTCCCCTCTTAATTTATTCGATTGCGGTCATAACTCACCCGTAAATGCCGAAAATTTCCCGCCTCACCATTGTGTTGGAACGCATCGTACCCTAATTTATTGCTCGTCTTATCGCCTTTCCCTTCTGACGGGGTTTCGGCCTAAATCGCGCTGAAATACACAATACGCGCCCGTCCATCGAGCGATCAAATCAAAGCGAATTCGTGTTGGCAAAAAATCGAACCCGATTTGTGTCGGTTTCCTTGTTTTAACCCTTAGAGACAACCCCACATATAATCGTAATAACCCAACGTAAGTGGCTACCTTTTGTTCGTAGATGTTATTGTATTTTCGTTCTAGTAGTATACGGTAATCTCTGTAGCAAGTGATTATGTTCGTTGAAGATGCCTTTTTGCCAAAAACATTTTAATTAAGATTTAATCTAGTTTGAATTAAGTTAAAGAAATCCATGAAATACGAATAGATGGATACAAGAGTGTGAAACAGAAATCGGTGATAAGTGCCTTCAGCTAGATGATAAATATTTCAGATTAATGGGGACCTCTCCGACCTGATGTCAAGCCCCAACCCGGAAAGCATTAATATTTCCTGATGTTTTCCTAATGGAGATTCCTGTTAGTTTCAGGACGAAGAGCACTCCGCTAAACGTAATTTATTCTTAACAGACGATTAGGAGGGTCGTAACCGCAGGAAATTTCCTTTTTGTTTAGTGCCTATTCGGACGTTAATCTTAACTGCATCCACTCGAAAACCACGACAAGATTTGTAACCCGAGATATATACGAAATCTTTCTAAAGCTTTTACTCTACTTTGCCGCAATTATTCACGTGAACACCTGACGGCTTAATAACGTCGAGTTCATTAGCGCTGTGTCAATCCCCGTATAATTATGAACTGAAAAAGGCGACGCCGTCGGGGAGGGCGGCGCTTTAAATTAATTTGCCGCCAGGATAATTAGAGCGACGTTTCGCAATCCTCGCAGGAATAATTGCCCTGTAATGCAAGTCAATTTTTAACTTTGTCGACGTGGTCACGTGATAAAACAAGGTAAACTCCGGTTACGTGTTTTCAAAAAGGATCAATAGGTTAGTAGAGGGCGTCACATTCTCCACCACCTCCACCCGGTATACCCCTTATCACCTTCCTTCCGGTAAATAAATTCGACCCCGCGTTGCACTGCCCTCGTGAAGACTTTACGTGTGTTGCAAAAATAAAAACAAAAAAAAAAGTACAACCTTAAATTGTAATTAACCTAGAAGGTGTAACACAAAAGGATACTTGCTTTGTATGGGGATCTTGAGTGTCGTAGAGTTCGTGCATAATTTTGTAGCGATTTCGGGAAGCGAAAAGGTGTAGGCGTGTATGTTGTGTCTTTGAGAGTAAACCCAACAAAGTTAGTCGAGACGACGCTGATAAAGGACGAAGAGCGCGATTTTTAGCACCATCTAATGCGGTGCCTGCTAAACATTGCATGAGAGCGCAAAAATGCCTTCAGAATGAATAGGGTGATTAAACTTTTCACGCTGTTTTGAATTTTCAATTTTTAAAAACAACGTTTAAATTTTGAAATAACCATAAACAAATCATCCTTTTTAGTGTAATCTTAAAATTTGTCCGCAAATCTGTTTGAAGATTACACAAAAAGAGATGAAAATACTTGTTTGAGATCTTAATTTTTTCTCTTTGTCAGTTATTCCATTACGTTTGAACCTCGTTTTCTGCGACTGGCAAAATCGTCGAGTTCATATCGTTCGGTATAGTTGGACGGGCATCACCCAATTCCCTTATTGCCACCGCTACCACGCCAGGGCAAATTGCTAAGAGCTTAATGTTATCGCCAACTTCCCGTCGCTTTTTGTCCCCTGTTTCGGGACTCCCCAACCGGTAATTGTTTGCTAAGTGGACAGAACGATTACGTCGTCGCCTTTTTACCCGGTTCTAAAACAGAACAGATATTTTTTTCTCCCCATTTTTCTTAATATAAAAATAAAATTAGGAGCATCAAAAAGTGGAGGCAATTACTGTTAATTACTTAATCGAAATGATACGGATAAAAAAAATAAATAAAACAAATAAAAAATAGTATCTATGTTCTGGACGCGTTTATAGTTTACGACCGAAAAAAATGCAAAATGTATCTGACAACCTCACCAGTTAGATAGTTAGATAGCGGGATTCGTTGCGATTCCAAACAGTTTTAAATTCACAAATGTCACGATCGTGCCCAACTTCACGATCGATTTGATTCGGATTAAAACTGGATGTGTGCAAGAAAATATATATTTATGAAGGTAATAAAGCAAAACTGATATTAAATTTGTATATACCAGAAATGATCTAGAGCAAGAAATAGAATGAATAAAATCTCTTTTGGGAAATGACCGAATAAGAAACACAAGAAACTTTTTGAGTTAAGGTGCTAATCAAGAAAAGGCCACAGTGTTACGGGCACGGCGAGACGTGCCTGGAATACGCCAGAATTAATGACGGTCCTGGAATAAATGAAGACCTCTTAGTTAGTTCCCAGCTTGAGGATAGCGCCCTGTTAGCATAGAATTTCGCTTGGTCACCTTCACGTTTCGGGTAAACATCAAAGACAAATACCGATAAGATCTATCTCTTTAACACTTCAAAATCATAAAACTATCTTCTTGTACAACAATACTTAAAATAATCTCGAAATTTACAATTATTTACCACTTCCCAAGTTGAGCTATGCCTTATCGTACGCAAGACAGGCGCTCGTAGTCTCCAAGTTGGAAGAGCTTGCATGAAATTAAGATAGGGCCTTAATGTCTCTTGTTAGTTTGGATGTTGTAAAACCGCACCGAGGAAAAATGTCCCAAAATAGAGGAGCAAACTGAATCAATAAAATTAAATTTCCACTAGGGCTTTTATTCGTGCAATGTGAATTATGGAGGCGTCGTCGTGACAGCGCTGTGTACAACCACGATCAACTGGTAGTCGGTTTCGAAGACAACCGGGGTTCTACTTAGACTACTGGAATGCGACCTAGAGCACGGCGAAGCCAGCGTGTTAATCCAACAGTATACCTTGAATCAACAGCAATTAACTCGGGATTAAAGCGGAATTTGTCGAGGCAACGTTTTCAAGCGTACCACTACCACTTGGTTTCAACAAAACAATATTTTTACAACACTCCAATTTAAAGTTTAATTTTTACTTGAAATTTCCCGTGAAAATACGTGGTTAACGAGTTTGGTGTGTTTATTTTTTCAAATTTTTCTTTTTTTAATTCGCCGATGTTATTATTTTGCTTTATCATTGGAATTGTAATTATAACAAAGTATAATTAAATCCATGTTAATTTAGTGAATAAACTCAATTAAATAACGACGGAGTTAATTTAAACTAAAATATTATTAATACCTTGACATGTTATAATTACCATAATGAATAGAGTATGGCCAACCAATAAATCTTGTGTAATTATGTTAATAAACACACCATTTATATAATGAGTTATTATTTTATCACGTTAAAATGAAGATTTCTCACCTATGAAATCAGCGGAAAGAACAGTGAGAAGAAGAATAAATGAGAGCATGATGATCTCGCCGGAAGTAGGCACTAACAATAACTAACACGAGTCTTTTCTTTGCTATTTTCACATCATCACGATTAACCACATCAGTTATTATTAATTAACTCAATTAAGTAATTAGAAAAAATAATCAACTTTTTAGTTATAGCTTAGTTTCATTTTAGGTTTGAAAACTTGATAATAAACTTTTATACATATATTGATGTATTTATTTTATTGGAACATGTACAAACATGAATTTAAAACGCGCGCCCGCGCGATCAAGACGTTGATGGCTTCGCCATAGCGTTTCGCGGCCTACTGAAAATATCGGGCAAAGTTCGTGCGGCCGGCGCATGTCAGTTACGTCCACGAGAGGCGCTGACGGCGCCGGAACCTACCAGAAATTAGATGTTTATTTTGGCTGCACCGTGAAGAACTTGATACAAAAGCTGTTTATTTTCAACGTCTCTTTTACCGGATTTTGATCTCGAAAAGGCTTCTAAGAATTTTGGCGGATGCGCCGGATCTAATCAAGTCATAAATTAATATTATGCAATATTTTGAATCACCCTGTATTTTTCGAAGGAAGATGTTAGATATCGTCTTTGTTTCAATATCAATATCTAACTTCCCAACCCTTATCAAGCTGTCCATCCTTCCTTTGACGTTTACTCAAAATGCAAGCGAGTATACTGTCAGGGTTATCGGAGATGTAGGAAAACGTCGGTGAAATTTTGGCCATCCCATACAATTTTAACGAATATCGCGTTTCAATGAAAATTCAGCCACCCTCAAAATCGTATATGGGAATTCGTAACATAACACGTCCGTGCCGAAGCTAATTGACCGAAAAGGATTCGTCGTTAGCGCAATGCGTCTGTTGAAAAATCCAATTACGAACGAAACTCTGGGAATGCCGACGACAATTTCGTCAATATCGTCGACAGGATACACGGGTATTATATCCCGGACGTTATACCCCAATTGTAGGTTGAATTGACCGGCGTTTCAAATCTCGATCGGTAAATGCGGTGATTAGTGCCAATTTGAAGCGAGGACGTTGTATATATTTTTTTTATTCGTGGTTATCCGAATCGACGGGTTTAAATAAAAAGTCATCTCGGTATTTACCGGAGCTTTACGGCAGTGGTTGGTTACGGAAAGGGCAAAAAATAAAAACTCCAAATCCTTTTAACGAGCGCAATATAGACGCGCGTTCCGCATGGAATTTCAGAACAAACTACGTCCCTTTGCCCAATATGGAACGTTGGCATTTTGAATCCATGCGCTCGTACAATGGAAAGTTCAGATATTAAATCATTTGTCGTGTCGGTCGTGGAACGTGCTCTGAAATTCATTGAAACCAAAATTTATGCGTTTGATGATGTATCTATACATTTTACAAAACTGCGCTCAAATAAACAAGAAAAATTTAAAAATAGCTTAAATTATAAATTGAATTTAAAAATTCAGTTTTAGGAACAAGTGCAACCATGATACTTTTTCGCTAATAAGGTTTACATTATACCAGAACTTAGTAAAATCATAAAACGAAAGTTACACGATGTCAGATTAAGAAAGCCTTTTTCACTGATGACTGGACTATGTCAATAAGATTTCCATTATCATTGTCATCCAGAAACGTAAAATTGTACCAAACCCCACCTCTAAGAACTAGTAATCAATGGAACAACTTTCTGATCATTCAGCTGATGAGTTCAACTTGGCAGAATCTACTATATCGATAAGACTTGCATCTTCAAAGTGATCTAAAAACGTTGGATTACAACCCAAATCATCTCTGCCAGTTCTAGGAAAAAGTACAATAAAGAAGTACTCTTCAACTGGTGACTGTAAATAACCGGAACTTACTAATATCTTAAAGAGGAAACTTTTAGTCTTCCTCGCTTGCTTCTTTCTGTTGGTACCGATTGGATTTTGGACGAAAGCTCGAGAGATAGGGACAGTTTGGTGTACATGCCTCGCAACAGCTTCTTCATAAAATTTAAGTTTTGTCCAAAAAGTTCATACTATTTTATGATGTAGTGATTTCCACATCACTGAAATTTGTTAGCACAATATGTTGACTTAAGAAAATATATTTATGAATTCAATATTATTATTATTTCATATAACTGGTAATATTTGGACATATATTAATTTATTTGTCCAACACGTAACAAACAAAGATATAAATTTTAATTTGCTGTAGCCTAATTACTCGGCACACTGGCGTGTTGATTTATCGTTTGAAACGTTATCAAATTAATAGGCTTTACGTGCAGGTATGCAATTTTAATTGCATTGCCGGACTTTGTAATTTCGTAATGAATTCGCGACGCGTTTTCGCTTAGTTTTATTAATTGTAATTAATGGACCACGGTGTTGGCTTATTGCTCGCTAATCACGCTAGTTGTTTACCAAATCCGCAAACATTTCAAGCAGTTATTAACAATCTTTGCGCATCGATTAATTTTAAAGCATAAGATGTCTGTTTCGACCTGTTTTCGCTTCAATGATATGTTTAATGAATTACCTGGGAGTACCTATATGCCATAATCGGCTTTACCAACCGTTGTTGCTATGACGTCAGTGATTTATAGTTGTACCGGAGCCATCAATTCGCGGTTGCCGGATTTCTCACGGGAGAACTGAAACCGCGTCAAACTGTCCTCCTGTTTTCTGATGCAACACGGAGTTGACAAATATCCTCCGGGACTTACGTTTAGGACATCGCGTCCCAGTTTTAAAACAAAAATACGAAAAATAAATATAAGATAAATAAAACAATATAAATAAAAGAAATAAATTTCGCTCGATAATTTAGAGTCAGATGCGCGTAGACCAAAAATCTTAAAAGGGGAAAAATAAACGGTCGTAGAACTTTGCGCGTTGACGATAAGGAAGCTTTAAAGTTCGTTAGGTGCCGACGAAACGGCCAGAACGACATCGTAAACGTTGCCGGCGCACAGAATTGTATGAATTACCCTCGACCCGGCTGCATCCTGGGCGCGGTTCCTTTATGAATCATTTACTATATTGCCAACGGCCTGGATCGACGATATTGCTGAGTTATCAATTCATTTTTATTGAATATCTTACGAACAACACTTCATATATCTTCCCGTATACACTAAAAAGAACACACCGAGTTCCAAAGATTGTCACAACTATAACCTTTTAGATTTGTATTCTCACCCAATACGAAGCAAAATCGTGACTGCTTTGGTAAAATCGATTGGTTAAACCAAGAAATTGTATTTACGTTAGGTTTTAGTAAATATTTTCTTGATAAAAAGCATCAATTACACCTATTCGTGTTTATAAATACAAATTTGATACAGTATTCATTGTTATGAATCAATAACAAAAAAAGACAACAAATAAAATCGTGTTCAACGAGAAATTAGGTCGATATTTATAAAATAAAAACAGATTGTGCTCCTATTTTTATTACATTTGGATTTTCCGATTTTATTATATTTTTTTTATTAAAGTTCGACCAAACTTCATTTACAAATTTTAAAACAATAACGTTTTCGACAGGTTTTAAATCAAAAAATAATTTCTACGCTCAATTTGAATTTAACGTTTCATCAAGCTTCTAATTATTAAATAGCGGTCCTTGGATCATCAAAAAAAATACCGCAGCCATCTTCCTGACATTGCACGATTTACGAAGGGCATAAATTCCGGCGATATTGAATTCCTCGATTATTGAACTGTTCGCTGTGCGGATTTAGTGTGGCAGCGTCGATGCGTTATTAGGCAATATTGTGTTTTTCGATAATGGATCGTTGCCTACGAGAGATTGCACCCCATCCTAAATTCTACGATGTTCTATGTTATCTACTTCACCCCTGCTTTCCATCCCGTCAAAGGCCATTAATTAATTCATGGGGATCCTACAGAATTTACGTTAGATGAGGGGAATCCATTTCAGCTCTCTATTTGTAACTAATCAATGATTTAGATAATAAAGTTACTTTTTCTTATAATAATAATTTTGTTGATGCGAAATCTTTTATTAACTTATCGTATTAAGTGAAATTAATGGTTTAATAGTGTTTAGGTTAGCTAATACATTAAGGGGGTTCGTCAACTCATAAATTACATGAATTCGCTGCCATTTCGCTTTGTCACTTAATGGATCATTAGGCGACAAAGTAAATTTTTGGGGAAAGCTTTCACGGGTAATTACGTTTGTTCCGTTGGTATGTAGGGGAAGAATGAAAACGCGCGTTTTGACATTTCAGTTAATTTTCTATTTGTACTAGTAAAGTTCAAAGTTTTGTTTGTTATTTTTTCGCTCGCGGGAATTGGACGAAGAAGGAAACGCCTCAACTTAGTCAAAACTTCTTGGCTAAATTAAAAACATAATTCTTTCTGCTATCTAATTCGAGAAACCAACCGAAAGGTTTTATTTTTCACTTTTTATTCTTCCTTTTTTATTATTCGTTTTTTATTTTTTGTTTCTTGACTTTTGGTTCTCTCCTTATTTTACATAAAGACGATACGGAATTTTCTACGAAACTTTTAATCTTTCGAAACTCGACGCGTTCATTCGTTCCAATTTCAACGGCGACTTCTTTTTAGGCCTTCCTTCTACCTAATGGAAACCAGACGTAAAACCGACCCGACTCGGTATTCCACCGTAAATTTCTTTCGATGCATCCGACCTCTAAACTCGTAACGGCAAAGGTAAAGTTAAACTCTAAACCGTTCTTACAACGTCTTATTCCAATATTTACTATTTCAATTTGTCGTTGCAATAAATGCTTCAATAAATCCACACAATAATTAACAAATGGATTCATTTTTTTTTTTTAATTACAACATACACAAAAATACAAACTTTTTAAACTTTAAATCGTTATAGCAGAAAACAGAGCATGATGTCAAGTCAATACCTGATTTCAACAACTTTCTGGAATTGTCAAACATTACTTGTACTAATTTATTGTTAACATTACCCAAACTCAATCCCAATCGAACCTCTCCCAACCCGAATGCAACCCAACTTAACCAAAACCCAACCCAAACTCAATCTGAAGCAAACCACTCTCAACCTGAACTTAACTCGAACCTAACCCAAATTCATCCAAACATCAACTTTAGATCTATATCTTGAGTAAACCACAGATATTGGAGGGACTTTTTGCTTGTATTGCCTACCTTGATAGCAAATCCTTTTTAATCTCATATCCACTAGGCTTTTTGCAACTTGATGGGGTATTCTGCTCTTTTTATTATAACTTCTTTTGTGAAGTTGTGTCCATTACCGATCCCACCTCA